ACTCTCGTGCTCTCTCTCTCTCTTTCTCACTCTCTCTCAAATAAATAAATAAAATCTTTAAAAAAAAAAAGGTAATAGACTCACCTGAATTGTCTTGGAGCCTCAATTCCCGCATCTGTAAAATGGAAGCTTATAACCCTTATAGTTCTCTACCTCTCAGAATCACTGTAGGCATCAAAAGGAAGCACTTTGTGAAATTGCAACTTCTATGCTAGGATAAGACATGGTGGCTTTCGAACATTTTAAGAAGTCTGATGCCTTTGGAATTAATTGGTAGAGACTGTCATCGGCCTATTGGGCAGAGCCAGATCAGACCTCAGTGGTCCATATACCCTTGAGCATGGCTTCTTGGGTTTAGACTCATACACCTGGGGTGAAATTCCAGCTATTTCACCAGTAGCTGTGTGACCTAAAGAAAGGAACTGCTTGAGACTCAGTTTCCTCATTTGGAAAATGGGGTGGATGATAATAATACACAGGGTTATTGTAAAGATAAGGTGTGACACAGTGATCGTCGATGACCTCCATAGCTAACTCTCTCACCTTTCCCTTTTTCCAGAATGTTCAAGGGCACTGTTTCTCCCAGATAGCTGAGGAGGACCCAAGTTTTTATTAAATTATAAACTAGTTCTTCCTTTTGGAGCCAATTTATGCTTAGGAACTCCTACCTGGTGTATGAAATGGGTTTGGCTGCAAATAGAGTGAATGCAGGCACAGTTAAAGCAGGAAAAGTTTGTGTGATCAATTTATAATTTTTTTATCCAATTCAACATGTGTAGTTCTAAGTTGTTATTACTAACAAAAATTAGTATTTGTTATTATTTTTGCATGCTCACCAGTTTAAGGGCTTTATATACATGAGTTTATAAAGCATCCTAACAGTTCTGCAAGGGAACCATTCTCTTTCCCATTGTACCTTAAAGAGCAGGACTTGGGGCCTAATGCATGCAGCCCAAGGGCCACATCCAGCAAGTGGGGAAACCTAACTTCACATCCTGGTTTGCTTCAATGCACACTCTGCTCCTTGGTGGTGTTGAGAGTGATTTGCTTTGAGGAGCTGATATCATTCCCACTGACAGAGGAGACGGGGGAATGAATACATGTGTTTGTTCTAGCTCCCACAGCCAGTGAGGGATAAAGCCAACATTGGAACTCCGGTTTCTGCCCCCAAAGCTGAGGAGTTGGGTATCCTTCCTCCCACAGTACCAACTGTTGCAGTGCTGAAGTTGGTCTCTTTTTTTTTTTTTTTTAAAGAGAGAGAGACAGCATGGGAGGCGGGAGGGGCGTGAGGGGAGTTGGGCAGAGGGAGAGGATGAGAGAGAATTTTAAGCAGGTTCCACACTCAGGGGGGAGCCCCACACAGGGCTTATCTCACGACCCTGAGATCACGATCTGAGCCGAAATCAAGAGTCAGACGCTTAACCGACTGAGCCACCCAGGTGCCGCTGAAGTCGGTCTTTTTATTCATCCATTCATTTAACAGTAGAGAGAGTCTGATTTACAGATCAGTGATGGCTATTAGATTATGCTTCCTATCATTCCTCCAGCATCTTCTACAGATTGATTAATTGGCTAAAAAAAATTTGAAGCATTGAAATCAAAAGAAGAATTCTCAGGGTTTTCATGTTTTACCATTTACCAAGCACTCTCCTCTTTAATGGTTCAAATAAAAGAAATGACATCTTCAATTTTTTTTGCAAGTTGTGTTATTGGTCCCCAGCTTGACATACAACTGCAAAAATTCATAATAATTAATGCTTTCTTTACTTAAAAGAAATCTTAGATGGAAGCCTGCCATGAGAAACAGATGAGAGCAAAGCTGCCTAATTTGAAGGGGGAAGATGCGGCAGGTTCAAAGACACCTCCGTGGTTTCCTGGGACTCTTAGAAGCATCCTGGGACAACATGGAGCCACAGAGCAAGAACGCCTTTGAGCTTTGTCCATTAATTCAGTAAATACTTTTGAGCACTGACTATACCTACGCACTCAGCATTGTGCTATGGTCTGGGCATGTGGAAATAAAAGATAGTAAGTATCCCTGCCCTCCAGAGGCTCAAGAGTTTGTGGGGAGGAAAGAGAGGGTACACATATGTAGAATGCAAGTGATCTCTAGTCATATTCTCTTTATTTGTGGCTGATGAGGCACAGCAAAGCATCCCTAGGGCTCTGCCTTGGAAGAAGTGAACAAGACTTGTAATGCAGAGCAGAATTCCTTCATTTTAGCTTCAAGGATGCTCACAGGTCTTCCCCTCCAGAGCTGATCTTGAAACACATGGTGTGTGTTTGCGATTCTGTACAACCACCGGGTCGCCTTTCCAAGGAGGATCAATACCTGTAAATTATTCATTACTTTTACACACTGTTTATTCCTATCTTTCATTTAAGTCAAATCCCAGACATAACAAAAAGAAAGGGAAAAAAAAACAGTGCAATAAGGAAATTTTGTCGTATGATTTTTGTTTTGCAGAAGAAAATAAAAAATCTAAATGCCTTTTCATTAAGAGGTTCCAATGCATTCCCTGTATCGTGTTAATTACCTAATGGCATGAGCACAGTGTGCTGTTCAATAGTCTCTCACAATTAGTTGGCAAAGCATTTTAACATCCATTACCTCCTTTGGGACTCACAAAGGCTCCATGAGTGAGGCAATCTGCTAGAGCTTTATTTTATAGCTCTTGAAACTCAGGGTCAGACCAAGCTATTTGTCCAAGATCACATGCCATAGACAGTACCTATGTTACAAAGAGGGTGAGGGGTAAAGACACAGAATCCCAGGTTGGTCCTAGAATCCTGCTTACCATCTATGTGACCATAAGCTTTTACTTCCTTTTACTTCTCGGCTGCAGTTCCTTTGTATGTGATGAGCAACCAAGTCATCCTTCGCCTGTGCCAGACACTTTCTCAACTCTCCGTTCATCTGTTCACTTAATCCTGACGGTGCTATTATTATTTGCATTTTATAGATGGAAGTTAAGTAATTTGCCGAAGGTCATACAGCTAGGAAGTGGCAGAGCAAGATGTACACTCAGGTAGTCTGGCAGTAGAGTCCATATTAAGCCCTCCACTGTAGGGGTAATGGGAAGAAGGTAGATTGGGACTGATGACTGTACCAGTCAGCATGGTCCTGGTTATGCTGAAGTAACAAGCATCCTCCCAAATCTCAGTGGCTTAAAACAGCAAAGAGTTATTTTTCACTCATATTTCCTGTCCCAACCCTATGATAGGTTTAGGGGGAGTGGCAAGGGACCACTAGACATCGTCCTCATTCAAGAACCCCAATTTCGAACTCTCTCCCAAGTGTCCTTGAGTGACAATTGACACAGAAGGAAGGGGGGGGGAGAGAGAGAGAGTGTGTGATTTTTCAAGCTCTTAAAGCTTCTGCCCAGAAGCAAATCATACATGTCACTTTGTTTACATTTTATTGGCCAAGACAACATGAAATATACAGGAGAGTACAATCCTGCCACATGCTTGGTATTGTAGTACTTGACCCAGTCAGCCGACAACACAGATGACCTCTCCCAGCGACCTGCCCCACACACATTCACTGGGTGACTGTGTCAGAGCTGAAATGCTCCTCTCAGCTGCTGGACACTGTTTCTCCTCTTGCCTTGTTAAATTCTTCCACATGGCTTCTACTATTTGCTTCATTAGTGGATGGCGGGGTACTGTATAATTTTAACATAAAAGTTAAAGTTAAAACCTTGGCCCAGAAACTAGAATCTTCACCAGGGACAAGAATTATTTCTTTAGCCACAGACATTCTCCCATGACTGCCTTCCTCGTATCTGATTTATTTCAATATTTCTATATTTTCAACCCACAGCAATTTTGCTTTCTTATTTAAATACCTTTGTATTATCTTACCACTTGTGAGGAACAGTGAAGACAGAGATTCGGGTTTTGTACGTGGAATCATCCATTCATTTATTCTTTCAAATAAAGGCTGGGGGAGAGGGGTCATGTTTTTTTTTCCTTTTTTTTTATTATTATGTTATGTTAATCACCATACATTACATCATTAGTTTTTGATGTAGTGTTCCACGATTAGGGATCATGTTTTTAAGCCCAACTATTGGCAAGGCTTGAATCTCCACGCATGATTTCAAGGGTTGACTGTATTATGTTCTACCATTTGAATTTCTTTCTATGAAAACAACATCATTTAACTCAAACTAAAATTGTTTGAAATGCTCTGAAATTGAAGAAGGGATGTGGGTGCCTGCAGAAACCTTCCAACAGCAGAAGTCCTTTCTTTCTTCAAGAAGCTTCCTCCATGCTTACAATCTGGCATGGACCCTGTGAAGTCAGTGAGGGCAACCTATATATCACATTTGGGTAAAGATTTTTAAAGAGCTATAAATGGAGGTTTTAACATTTTCTTCCTGCATGCCAGGGATGAACCCGCTCAGCCCTGGGACGCGAACACTCTGCTCTGGAGTCCACTGCTCTCGGGGTAGGAGGTCAGCAAAGAGTCTTCAATGAAGGAGTGATGGAGTGACGAGGTCACATTTGTGTATGTGATAGCCTGGCAGAACATGGGCTGGAAGAAGTTCAGCCTGGAGCAGGGACCCCAGACTGAAGCCTGCTGAACTGGAGTGTTGATGGAGAGAGAAGGAAACAGAATGAAAATGAAAATACTTGTCTTGGAAATGGAGTATGCCATGGAGGGCAGAATCTATAGTCGATCCCAGGTTTATGCAGTAGCGGGCGGAGAAAGATGTTGATGCCATTCTCTGAGACAGGTTGTATAGCATGAGCAGGTTTGGGGAGAAGGGTGATAAGGACACTTAAAATTTCAGGTAGAAGGGTAGGGGAGCTCAGGGGAGCAAGAAATTCCTTCCTGTTACCAGAAAAACCTAAGAAAGCTTCATGGAAGAGGTGGCATATGAACGGGCAGGAGTTGAACTTACAGAGTTGGGAAGAACTGGGCTGCCACCAAAGCCAAGAGTGTCCACTCGGGCCTTATGCGTGTGTCTCCATTTCACCTATGTCAACAGGTATGTGAGGTCAAGGACGAAGCATGATGTGGACATGCGGATTGGAATCCACTCGGGCTCAGTGCTGTGTGGAGTGTTGGGCCTGCGGAAGTGGCAGTTTGATGTCTGGTCCTGGGATGTGGACATTGCGAACAAACTAGAATCTGGAGGAATCCCTGGGTAAGTCAAAGCAAAGCCATCTTCTTGTTTAACCCTCGTCGTTTTGCTCACTTTGTGGCAGTTGGTTTCCTGTGTGCAGAATTCCGAGGTATTGACCTATAAGAAGCAGTTGTTTAGGAGGAGACAGGACATTAAAACATCATACAAATATTGGCCTCAAAAGTCTAGTGAAATTCATCACAGGCAGTGAAGGTGGTGGGACGGCAGGCAGATGTTTAGGACCCAGCCCTGCAAAACATTGGTTTCCAGACTGGACTCCCATTCGAATCAACAGAGGAACATTTTAAAACCACTTGTGTCCAGACCCATGTCGGTACATATAAAGCAGAATCTGTGCAGAGTCTATAACTTCTTAAAGCAATTCTCATGGGCAGTCAGGGGTAAGACCTCCTGACCTTCTATATGACCTTACCTACCTTGAAAACTCAGCTCTCTGAATTTGGCTGGCAAGACCAGTGGGTATAGAATCCCCAGTGGTACTAGTGGCCTGGAAGGGGTCACTAAACCCTGAAAAGTAGTGGTGAGATTCTGCTTATGCAGATTGGGTCTAATAAGATTTTGGATACATGTGAACCAGTAAGTTGTACTGAGTTCTTGCACATACTTCTCTCTAACAGATGATAAATATTAGATGATAGATAGATAGATAGATAGATAGATGATAGATAGACCAAGAGGCAGACAGAAAGTTTAGACAGACAGAAGGTGTACACATATTCCTTTCCCTACACCTCATCCCCAGCCCTACCTTTGGAGTCAGAGTTCTCTGGTGTCTGCCATCATTCCTTGATAATTATATTTAATATCAGGTAACATAGTATCATGGGAAATAAACTGTAGGAGGTGGTATCAGAGAAACTAGGATTTCCACTCTGCCCCACACTAAGCTCTGTTACCTTAGCAAGTCATGTAAAACACACATACCTCCTGGCATGTGATTTTAGCACAGACTTGACTTTTGTTGCTCTGTCTGCATGATCTCAGGCCAATACTTAACTTCTCTGAGTCTCACTATAAAAAGAGAGATGATAATACTGATATGGTACCTTGTGATTTTATGTCCCTTCTCCATGAGGGTTTGTTTTCTCATCTGCCAAATAGGCACAGTCCACCTCACAGATTTTGTCTGAGGCTATGTCGGGCAGTGGGTGTGAAGCACTTTGTAAACCATGCAGTGATGTCCATCCTTTTAAGGGAGCCCTCACTGTCTTTAATGGTCACCACTCCTTGCCATGCAGGCTTGGAACTAAGATAAGCCTAACATGTCACCACTGGGTTTCTTAAATCCTTACATTCTCTGGGATTTTCCTACAATAACTACCTGCTGGATCCAAACAAACCAGACAGCTAATCTATCTATGTATATGTCTTGAAAGCGTAGCTGCATGAAGAGTTGCCGTATGCCTGGTAAATTCCCTTTGCAAACTGCAGAACACAGCTCTGTGGGTGTGTGACATAATTCTGGAGGCCAGTTTAACTAATGTTCTCAATCACACCAAGAAACACAGGAGTGATTGAGTTTAAATCTGATGATGTATTTGAACGGTGGATTTACTACTTACCAGTTATAGAGGCTGGGGCAAGTTTCTGAATCTTCCTGCCTGGTTTCTTCACCATAAAGTTGGGCTGAGAATGCTTTTGACCTCAAGAACTTGGCTTCCAATAAGATAGTACTTACAAAGTACTTAGTCTTCTATACATTATCCAGGTCTGCTGAGGTGTAGGATGTGCCCATGTGCAGAAATGTAGTAAAACCGAGACATGTCTCCAAATCCTACATGGTTTGAAATTGTTGGGTTTTATTTGCTTTTCAAATGTCTACTTCCTTTTCCTGTCCATCAAGACATATAGGAATAAACTCAGCTTACTTTTCCTTTTAGTGAGAATTAGCCCCCAATTCCAAACGTGTATTGAGTACCTACCACGCACTCACAAGTCAGCTAACTACCATCAATATGTTGTAACTTTTGATTTTATGACACTCCACATAGTAAATACAGACATACCTTAGAGATATTGTAGGTTCAGTTCCAGATCCTCCACAATAAAGCGCAAATTGCAATAAAACAAGTCAAATGAATATTTTGGTTTTCTAGGGCCTATCACAGCTATGTTACACTCTACTGTATTCTCTTAAGTGTGTAGTACCATTATGTTTTAAAAAACAATGTGCGCTAAAAAATGCGAACTATCATCTGAGCTTTCAGCAAGTCCTAATCACTGATCACAGATCAACATCACAAATCCAATAATAATGACACTGATTGAAATATCGTGAGAATTACCAAAATGTGATGCAGAAAACGGACGTGAGGAGACGCTGTTGGAGAAATGACGCTGATAAATTTGCTCAATGCAGTGTTGCCGCGGACCTTCAACTGGCAAAAGATGGACTATCTGCAAAGCGCAGTAAAGCAAAGAGTACTGAAAGCAGGTGTACCAGTCTTAGCTTTCTTGTGTTCATAAGGAAACTGAGGCTCAAAGACATTAAAGATGTCACATAAAAACAGCTTGTAAGTGCCTCACTGTGCCTCACTGTTAAATCACTGTACTCTCTAATGTATCTAACTTGCTCACGACTATCTTCTTATTATGACTGTCTGGGCCCTCACTGTGTCCCCAGAGGCTAGCACGAGGCATAGAACAGAAGCGAGAGGGAGGTGTACAACTCCATGGCATAGTGGTTAGTACCCTGACCCTGAGGTCATGCAGAATTGGATGAAAATCCTTTCTCTGCCATGGACACCGGCCACGTGGCCCCAAACAAGCAGGGATTCTCAAAACTTGGCATGCGTCTGAATCACCTGAGGGCTTGTTAACCCGTAGGTAGCTGGGCCCCACTCTTGGGGTTTCTGATCCATATGTCTGGAGAGGAGCTAAGAATAGGCCTTCCTAACAAGATCCAGGTGATATTGATGCTGCTGGCCTTGGTACCACACTTTGAGGACCACTGTTCCTGAGCTTCTGTTAAATGATATAATGCATATAAAGTCCGTTGTCCTGTGCTCGGGACATACTCACTGTGGTCACGGCTGTCATGGTGGCCATATGCTACAGTGTAGGGTCTTGAAAAGACTCTGAAAATGCAAGTCCTTGTCTCAATCCTGCACTGTCATCTTCCACTGATAGAACCTCAGGCCAGTTACTTACTCATTATCTCCGGGCCAATCTCACCATCTGCGAAAGGAGGTGAAGAAATGCCTGTCCCCAAGAGTGGTTGGGAAGAATGGAAATTATATGAGATGATCCACAGAGCCAAGCATCTAGGAATACCTTTGGCTACAAAATAACATTTATGCAAAATAAGTGTCACCCAACTGTTACATCTTACTTACTTTCATAACTGTTATTATTATATGCTGGCATTTGAAATTACCAGAAAATGTTGACCCAACATTCCATGTATAAGAATATTGTCTGAGGCTGGATTCATTTCTTTAGGGGGAAATGTAATTATCACACTGTCATCTGTAAATGCCTCACTCCCAAGCTCAAGGCACTAACAAGGATGAAAATGAACATCTGAAGCCCAGTTTCTGTCAAAACATTTAAATGTATATTGATTATAACTTCAGCAGAACAGTCAGCAATAAATAAAAGTGAGGATGTCTTCCACAGTGTTTGAAAACATAGTATTGATTTAGTATATGCAAATATTAGTCTCCTTGAGCACTGACAGCAGAATAATAAAATGTAGAACCCATATAAAATATCAAATGAGGTTGATATTTAACTTATTTAAAATCAACCATTGGACTTAACAAAACCCTTCCAAGAGTTTTGTTTTGCCTGGGAGAAAAAGACAGCTTTCTAGCCCCTAGCTCTGGACTTGATCTGAGAAAGAAGACTGGAGCATCCATTTCATAGAAGGTCAATGACTTTTCTATTCCCCTAGGTTAACATGACTGAGTTCCCAGGTGTTAACAAAATTCATCATGAGAATAATTTGCACTTACACACATTACTCACATTTCTTAAGAAAGCTCAAAACATGTTTCACATGCTTTTATTTTTAATATCTTGCTTTGCTTTTGAAATCGATGACTACGTATGATGATACTTGTTTGGAAAACATGGAGAATGTATCTTAAATCATCAGAAATGCATTTTCTTGTAGTTTCTGTTTCTTTCTGTGTCCTTTGCAGTGAGTTATTCTCTATAAACAGGAGCTTAGCAGGATGGGTAAAAAGGGTAACGGGGAAGTAGAGATAGTACTAAAAAGTACGATGCATTTGGAAATGCTCCTTTTAAAAAATTTTATTGTTTCCTTCCTTGGATATATTTTTTCTATGATTGCAAAAGCGAAGCAAAATTTTAAGCATCTCCCTTATTCATTCATTCATTCATTCATTCAGAAGAGCGGTAAAGTCAGCCTAAGGAAAATGACTTTTGAGCTGAATTGGGGAGTAAGAAATTGTCCTGTAGAAAAGATGGGATGAGCATTCCAGGCAAAGGGCATGGCTTGTTCTGAGTTTAATAGGCATGAAATGGTACCTTGGCTTTAAAGAAATGCCAGTTACTTGATTAGCTGGAGAAAGCATAGGGTACAGGAAGGGAGCAGTGTCAGAGAATGAGTTTTAAAGTGGTAGAGCCCAGAAGAGAGGGGCTCAGAAGCCTTCTTCAGAGCTTAGGTTGTATCCTGTAAGCCTTGAGGAGGCATGGAATAGGCAACAGTAATTTCACAGTCGCATTTTTGAGAATATTATTTAAGCGTGTGCTTTTATAGTATGTTCAGTGTACCATACACACTATCTTTACACAAATCAACTTTGGAATACAATGACCTTAAGAGATGGGTACTTTTATTTTCCCATATTTAAGGTGAGAAAACAGACTTATTGAAAGTTTAAGTAGCTTGCCCAAGATCTCTCAGCTAGCAAGTGGTAACGCTAGGATTTCAATCCAGGCAATCTGGCCAAACAGTCCATGCTCATCATCACCATACTAATCTACCCAGACCACAATACAGCACAAATAAGTAGTCTGATTGAATTAGACAGTTAAGAGAACAGAAAAACTCTTTCCCAAAGGGTTTACCATGTGAAGTTTCCACAATTCAGGTCTGATCCTTAAGGCTCTTGATGTCATCTGTTGTTTTGCTAAAACAAATATAAAAACAACAACTTGGATCATGAGCTGTGATGGAATGGTGAGGCAGGAATGAGCACTTACCTTGTGAGTGAGCCTAGCCAGCCACCTGCCTACCTGTGTTGACTTCTCTGTTCCCTGCTCCTTGCCATATACACCTTCTAGAAGAAATTGCGTCTTAAAGTAGTTTTCCGAAAGGACCCTCCATGCAGCTGTGTGAACTCCTGAGACCTGCCTTTATTTTTAAGAAGATGATAGACAAGTAGAAGAATCCAGGCACAAATATTTGAAAATTAAAATGAGGAGAAAAGTCCCAAGACACTAAGGGAACTGCTGTGGTTTCATGGTGATTTGGACAATAATTACTTTTGGGCTCAGAAACATTTATGGAACTTGTTTTTCCAATACAGTCAACAATACCAAAAAATCACCGATTCTTGAAGGTTGCTGGGATCAGGCTGACAGTCATAGGAAAAGTCAAAAGAGGTGCTTAGGTATGGCTCAGCAAGGCTGGATTTTATCAGAGGCTGCACTGTCCCTTGGGGTGAAGTCAGTGATACGCTGCTCACTGATTTATGCCTGTACTTCTGTTTTCTTTTTTTTTTTTTTCTGCTTTTTCAGGGGAGTGCGTATTGTCCTTGAAAATATGTCTTCACAGTCCCCGTGTGTAGCCCTGATGTTGGCTTTGCCCAGGACGGCAAACAGCAATGGTTTTTGCAGGCCACCTCGGGGATGTATAATGACCTATGCTTTGTGCACACAGGAGGATTCACATTTCCAAAGCCACGCTGGACTGCCTCAACGGTGACTATAACGTAGAAGAGGGTCATGGTAAAGAGAGAAACGAATTCTTGAGGAAGCATAATATAGAGACCTATTTGATTAAGCAGCCTGAGGAGAGTCTGCTGTCGTTGCCTGAAGACATTGTCAAGGAATCGGTGAGCTCCTCAGACAGGAGAAACAGTGGGGCGACATTCACAGAAGGATCCTGGAGCCCCGAACTGCCCTTTGATAACATAGTGGGGAAACAGAACGTAAGTCCTGGCTTCCTTCTTCTGGTTAGCCAAGAATGCATGCTTGAGTGCACCCCCAGCCCAGACTCCTTAGAGAAAACTGATTCATCTTTAACCTTTTCTCTGCGGAGCACCATAATTGCAAATGATTAAACATCTCTCCTCAGGACAGATTTAACCTATGTATGCAATTTCAGGAAATACCAGAAATATCAGAGGGTTCCCAACACCCTCTCTCTCTCTATCTCTCTCTCTCTCTTTTTTTTTTTTTTGATCTAGCTGAAAATAAACATCATGTGAAGGTGGATTAATAATCCCCTCCCTCCCCCCGCCCACAAAACTACTCATGTTGGAGAACCTGACATGATTAAACTAGCAACAAAAGTAGAAGGTAAAGTCCATGAGAATGCCATTTCTCAGGGAGCTGGCAGGCCAGGAGTTCTGAGTTGCCCTCTGAAATTTAAAATCAGGAGGGCACTGTTGATCTGGGAGTATAAAAGCAGCACCGAGTGAGGCCAAGGGTGAGTATGCGCGCTTTAGGAGGAGCATGCAATTTCAAAGCCACCCACATAGTTCTATTCCTATTTAGGGTGGATTTGCATCTTAAATGAGGGATAAGGCTACAGAGTTAGTACATAGGTATAAATCACCAATAATCAAATTATTTTAAAAAATCATTTTTTCCAAATCCCGGAATCACTCTAAATCCAATGAGATGCTCAGACTCCGAGATGAACTGGAGAAGTGAGAGAACCAGAGGGATTCAGAGGTTCTCTTGTCCCCAGCGTGCTTGTCCAGAGCACAGGCAAAATCACCTGCTCTCCTAGGAGTTTACTTTTAATCCTTTAGGCCAAGTACAGGATAGTCGAATTCATGTAAATTCATGGTGTCACTCCAACATACCTTTTTAAAGAAACAAACAGAAGCCAGTATATAACACTTAGAATCAGTTTCCGGCAGGCTCCTGAGCCAAGCAAAAGCTGAAAGCAGTGTGAAGAGTGCTGTAGCTTTATGAGGACATAAATGGATAATTGTCCTCATCCGTGGACCCGAACTTTTCTCATTAACTTGCAGATAAGACAAATCTATCTGCTTCAAGCCATTTAAAATGGAGGAGGTTAAAGTGGTGAAAGCCTTCCCTCTTTCTTCGGCACTTGAAAGATGGATGTGGGGTGCCCCAAACCAGGTTAACCTGTTTCTTTCCAGTTCTGTGTGAAGAAGCTATGGAACAATCCATGAATCAGATTCCACTGGGGAAGGATGTAGGTCCAGCTAAGCCCACATGCCTTGTAAGAGTTTTACCTTTAGGTCTTCACTTGTCTTTTGTGAGTGTTTAATTTGCCCCCAAATTATATGTCCACACAAGTCATCATTGAGTTCAGTGTCTACTTCTTTCCATCCTTGGATTGGTATGCATGGTAGAGTTTGATGTTACATAAAATAACGGTCTTGTACATTTGCTGCAGTGGATGCATGGCCAACTGACAGTGTCCTCCCAGCTCCCTCTGCCTGTTGTTAGCTTGAGCCTGAATGCTGGTTATTGAGAGGAGATGCGTGCCTCACCCTGGATACCTCAGTAACTGCATAAAATTCTCTCTTTGTTTTAGTGTTTCTGTTTTTCCTTTTTGGTCTTTCCATTTGAAAAATTTTCTATTTAAGCTGATCGTAGAAATTGGGAAAATTCCTAATTGTCCTCACCTCAGTTGTACCCAACCTTGCCACTAATAGTTGAGAACCAAGAAGAAAGAGGTGGAGATGCTTGGTTTTATTTCATGATTGAGCCATCTGGCAAAATTGTATAGGGAGAGTGGAAATATTTTCTTTGCTGATTTCCTAAAGATATTTTCTGGTGTCATGAAATATTTGGGATGACATATCATTATCAAAGATTATTAATCTCGGTGTTTAACCATACCGTGCATTTCTTGTGATGCCTGAGTTTTACCTGGATACCACCCACCTGCGCCATATTCAGCATGCATAATCTCAATTCATTTTGATGCCATCAGACCTACAAGCCAGTGAATGTGTATTGATATTCATAAATAACCAAGTGGAAGTGACTGAATCAATGGAAATGCCCACAAGCTCTCAGAGTTCGTCCTTAGGCTTAGCTCTAGAAGTCAGTGAGTCGTGTGTGTGATTCAGAGATAGGACGTGCACCTGGAAGAGATCAGGAGTGATCTGGCTAAGCCCACGCTCTGCCAGACACCCAGTCAGTTCCACAGACAGTCCAGACCATCTGAGTGTTTGCATAACACAAATAAAACATACTAATGCTTCACTGGGGGGTGGGGTGGTTTCCAACTAAATTGGCCAGATGTTTTAGAGTTTATTAATTCATAATGTGTGCTTAGAAATCATGTTAATGACATCAGTATGCTGAGCCCTAATCTGTGCTATGCAGATGTTCAGATAGTTACATTCTCATGTATTCATTCATTCATTTGATAAAGATAAATAGAGCATCTATTATATGCCAGGTACTGCTAGGAATAAAAGATAAGGGGAGACAGAGGAAAGAGACACTTTAGAGGTAAAGTCAGACAGTGGTTTATATGCATCATGAAGACAGGAATTACGTATTTCACTTACCCACTGTTTAGCCTGCAGTTAGAACACTACCTGGTAAATAGAAGGGCTTGATTACAGTTTGTTGAATGAATGAATGAATGAATGAGTGAATGAATGAATGAATGAATGAATGAAATGAAATGATAGCGACAGATGGCAAGGGAGAGGAACCAGTCAAGTTTGACGTTCAGATTTCTTGTTTGAGTGACTGGGTCAACGGTAGAACTGCCCTCTAAAATAAGCACTACTGGAATGGAAGGAGACTGAAAGGGAAACATTAGGAAGTCAGTTTGGGACATGAGGAGCTTGAGCCTGGGATGGATCAGGGAAAGATCTCCAGAAGGCTATTGGACACACACTTCTGAAGCTCTGGTATGAAAGAACAGTGCAAGAGAGGAATCTGGCAGTCATCAGGATTTGCATGCTCATTCAAGGCATGAGAATGGCATAGATCACAGTAGGGAATATGTAACATAAAACAATAAGAAGACACAGGGCAGATACTGGAAGGCACCAGATGGGAGGTGAAAGAGAGTAAGGATCCCATGATGGAAATAGACAGGAAGCAGTCAGAGTGATCAGGAGAGAATTAGGGAATGTGGTGTCATGGAAGCCTAGAGAACAGAGCATTCTGATAAGGAAGGGGAAATCAACCATGTCAACTATAACCAGGAGGCCCAGTGAGATGAAGACTAAAAACTACCAATTGGAATTAGATTGAAAAATATCACTGGCAGGAAGCAGATTTGATGAGGTGATAGAGTCAGAAGCCAGATTGTCACAGTCGATAAGAGAGAGTTCTTGGGTTTTGAAGAAGAACCCCAACGCAATCCCTCTCCCCATCCCAACGCCCATTTCAGGAGTCTATCAGTGGTTTGGAAGAGCAAGAGAAGTCACTAAGCATTCTCTCTGGCCCCTTGTATGAATCTTCCAGTCCCTGTCTATGCCTGAAGATAATCTCTTGATTTTGATGTCCTGCACCTTCCTGCCTATATATCTGTATCCATTTAGGTTAAACTTGCTGGTTCAGCTCTCTGAGTTCTGGTATCCAGGTTGTGTTTGGACACACTGAGCATTTCTGCTTTGCGTCTCTAACTCTTGACATGGGCAGGTGTTCTGTTCATTGATTTGGTGTCTTGGCTTCCTGAACCCAAGACTCAGTTACCAGTGAGGCTTCCTATGCTCTGAGCCTATGGGTGGAATGAAAGTAAGAAAATTGGAAGGCAAGAAGCTTAAATCCCTGATGGACTATTGAAAGTTGAGATTGTGATAGCAGAAGTAGGTCATTGAAGTAGACCAAAAATTAAAATGTGGACATTTAGGGGAGGATGTCCAGAAACTTCAAGGTGAGATTATTGGGTGAGTCATCAATATGGTCATTGGATCTCTCAGAATAAAGACAAAACTTGAGATGTGAAGTGAAAACTTAAGAAAATGATCTTTATGTTAAAGATCACATTTCTCTGCTGGTTGCATGCTGTATCTAAAAATCTGTTTGTGGGCTTGAGCTCTTATTCATTTAGTTATTTAATAGGCACTCTATATTCTAGATCCTGGGGATCCAGTAGTGAGCAGACAGACTTGGACCCTGTCTTCCGGAAGTTTGCCTTTTAAGGGAATGGGGAATGCAGACAATGAACTAAAACATATAAGTGCTACAAAGGAAGTAGAGATATATGAGTAGGAGGTGGATAGAATTACTGTAGAAGAATTATATAGGCCTCTGCAGATTCTGTTTGAGTGCTGAGAGGACTGTAGATGCAAATAACCAGGAGAAGAGCTTTGCAGACAGAGAAAACAGTAGTGCAAAGACCCTGAGGTACGAAAATTTTGGTGTGTTAGAAAAAGAACAGGGCACCTGGGTGGCTCAGTTGTTTAAGCGACTGCCTTCGGCTCAGGTCATGATCCTGGAGTCCCGGGATCGAGTCCCACATCGGGCTCCCTGCTCAGCAGGGAGTCTGCTTCTCCCTCTGACTCTCCCCCCTCTCATGCTCTCTCTCTATCATTATCTCTCTCAATGAATAAATAAATAAAAATCTTAAAAAAAAGAAAAAGAACAAAAAGGAAGCTAGAACATGATAAGCAAAGAAGAAAGGGGTATGAGATGAAGTTAAAAGGAGACAGGAGCTCAGTGTTACAAGCCTGCTGGTTTTAGATTTTATTCAAAGGGAAATGATAGAAAGTTTTTAAGCAGGGCAGTGACATGATCAGATTTAGATTTTTAAGAGATCACTTTGGCTGCCTTATGGAGAATAGGTTCTGGGGGCAACAATGGACTTGTCCTCAGACAGACTGCATCTTAGACTTACCATTTACAAGAGGATACCAAAGGGTGAAGCTTTCATGTTGCAGTAAAAAGTATTGTGTGAGGTCATTAATAATTTTAACTTGATTTTTATGACAAGCAATAGGCCAGGGGAGGTGCAGCTGCTCTTTCAGAAGCAAGA